GGGGGGGGTGTGATGGGGGTATGTGTGTTGGATGGCTGACCACAAGGCCAGCAGCGGAAAGGGTACAGAGGGGCTTTCTATTCCCATAAAGAGTTATCATCGGGAACCCCACAGGGACAGCACTGCTCTGTGAGTTAGAGCCGACTCAATGGCAGTGAGCCTTGAGTCTGGGTAGAACCACGATGAGTCACGAAAATGACTTATCCCCGGTTGTTTCTGGGGTACTGGCCTCCCTGCCTCCACTTGTCTGAGACTCCCAAGAGCAGGGACTGCGTCTCTGCCCACCCCCACCCGGCCCCACTGTGTCCCCGTCCCAGCCCCTTACCTGGGGATGGTACACAGGTAGGAGAGCAGCTTGGTGACCTGTGAGACCGAGCACCATGGTGCCTCCCGGGGCCCCGCATTGGCTGACAGGAGAAGCAGGGGCCGCCCTGCCTTGTCTCGACCACCTGGAGAGAGAGGATGGCTAGCAGTGAGGATTCCACTGGGACATTCCGGGGGAGTGGCTCTGTGACCGTCGCCAGCCTGGACTCTTTGCCTGCCCCCCCCCCCCCTTTCTCTTTCTCCTGTGAATGCTGAGCTCTTGCTTAGCCTGAAGACCCAGCTCGGGTGCCCGCTGAGCATCTCCTTCAGAGGTAGCCCCGCCCTCCTCTGGACCCCATCAGTGCCAGGCACCTGGGGGTGGGGGGAACTCACGGAATAGTTTTAGGGGGTCACACAGATAAAAGGTTCAAGTCACCGACTTGCTGTGTGGCCTTGGGCAGCTTGGTGCGTCTCTGAGCCTCAGTTTCCTCATCTGTCGAAGGGGGTGGAGAAGAGTCCTGCACTTACTCGGTTGTTTCAAGGATCAAGTGTGACTGTTCCCGAGCGCTTAAAACCCAGCACACACAGGTCATCCCGGCACTCCTTGTCCTGTCCTGGCCCATGGCTGCCAGCTCACTGCTCACAGTCCAGGGCTCACCACAGGCTATGCCCTGTTCCCTCAGCATCTGGGCTGCATGCCCCACACTCCCTCTGGGGTCATGAGGCTGGGGCCCAAAGTGGCAACACCACCAGTTGGCCCTGGTGGGGGCAGAGGCATCCACAGTGGGGAAGAGACCAAGACCCATTCTGCTTCATGGCTGGGCACCACTTCTTCAGGGCTGTCCTGCCATGGCCACCACCCACCTCAAGGGGGCACAACCCTCCACAGCGTGCAGGGCTCTCTACAGACCAGGAAACCTTAGACAAACTTGACCGTTTTCCCAAGCACAACTTTGCACTGGGCTCAAACCACCCAGATTTTTTTCATATAGGTTTTAAAATTTGAGATATTTTCCCCCCAAATGTCTATAAACGGATGTGTGTGTGTCCATCCACTAGTTGTTGTCAAGTCATCTCTGGCTCCTGCTGACAAGAGGACGGAGCACCATAGGATTTCCTGTGACTACTTTAAATCACCAGGCCTTTCTTCCACAGTGCCTCTCGGTGGACTTGAACCTCCGACCTCTTAATGAGCAGTTGAACCAACTCTGGGTAGCAGCGTTAACCTCTGGGCGAGCAGTTGAATGTGTTGAGCCCATGCACCTCAGTCAGAGACTTGTACATAGGTCAGGACACCAAAGAGTTTGTGGGGAAAAGGGACTACATGCTAATGGGATGTTTTCATCAGGTTTTGGAGTCCCCCTGTGCTGTCCGTTCTCCTGGACTGCTGACCTTACAGTTAGCAGCTGAGTACGGAACCCACCCACACCGCCAGGGCTTCTGGGTATTCCTCATTAGAATACAAAATGTATAGACATTTGGAAGCCGAAAACCTTTTTCAAAGATGTTATGGAGCGACTAAAAACTCAGAGGGAGATCTCAACCCTCTGGGGCCCAGTTCATGCACCTCTGTGTTCAAGGCTTTCAGGGAAGCCCCCGGAAATCCTCTCTGAAGGCTTTGTGCCCGTGGCAAGCAGAGTCATGGCGTCTCCCCCACCACACCCCAAACCCGTGGCCATGAGACCTTCCAGGGCCAAGGGGAATCTGCAGATGTGACTAAGCGGGGGAGTCTCCTGGATCACCCACACGGGCTCATCCTGGTCACATGACTCCTCCACAAACCCCACACACCCCGTTGCCCTCAAGTGAAGTGGGCTGCGGCTCACGGGGCAGAGAACGTTTCCAGCGTTGGTCGGTCAGAGAAAGATGTCCTGATGGGAGAAAGGCCAGAGAGATGCAGAACTGGAGATGGAGGGAGAAACCACCAGCCAAGGACTGCAGGTGTCCACTACACACTGCGAAAGGCGAGGAAACGGCAGGGTCAACCCTCAACTCCTGGCTGATGGACACAGGGTGCAGGAGGCCGGCATCTATGCCTTGGGGTGGAACCACCTCATGCTCCAACTGAGCAGATCCCTCCGGTCCCTGCCCAGAAGCCTCTCTCCCTGGGTGAATCGCTTCTCAAGAACCCCTGCAGCAGGCTGTTTCTAGGGAACCTAAGCTAAGCCTACACCTTGGCAGCCTCACTGAACTCTGGATGTAGCCTGATAGAACTTAGAAATGACTTTCCTTTGATCCAGCGCTTAGGTCGGACGGATGAGGAAACGGAAGCTGAGGGAGGCTTGGTGCACAACTCAGTTCTCTGTCAGCTCTGCACCCACCAACACTTAAAGAGGCTCAGGGACACCCAACTCCCCCTACCCCCCAATTTCTCCCCACCCATCCACTCTCCTTTTGCCCTTAGGCTCCCCGGACCTGGCAGGCATGCTAGCCCGGAGTGACAGATCTCCATACTCAGAGCCCCAATCCGGGTTTCAGGCCCTGGGGCAGCCTCGTCCAGGGCGGGGCCTTTTCCTGGTGGGCCGGTGGAGGCTTCTGGGAAGCCAGCCTCTGCTCCAGTCAATGGGCCTGAATCAGCGGCCAGGCCAGCTGCTCTGGCCTGAGCTGTTCCAGCTGGGAAAAGCAACACAGAGAAGGGTGTCAGCTGTAGATGGATTTTCCAAGGGACACATGTTTTCTCTTTTATATTCTGACTCATAATAATAGTTTACAACTATTGATCTCCTACTGTGGGCCAGGCATGGCCATACGCTCCTTTCTTCTAGGGTCTTGTGAACTGTCAAAACAGCTCTGGACTCTGGGTGGATGAATGGATCCCTGTTTCACAGCTAGAGAAAGCTGGGCTCAGAGAAGTTAGGTGCCAGACCAAGGCCACAAAACCATGCGTGCCACAGCTGGGCCGTGGCCCCAGGACATCTGGGTAAAATCAGAGAACCTCAATCAATTCCAGACCCGTGAGATTTCAGTCCCCATTGTAAGCCACCCTGTGCACTAACCCCCTGAACTGAGGTGGCCTTGGCAAGTCTCTGTCCTTTACCATAGAGCAACCTTGTAACCAGCTCCTAGCCCGTATAGTTTCTTTGGCTTACCTTTCTCCATGGACTTGGCCTGGCTGGATTTGGGGGAGTACAGTGAGCAGGGGACTTTCCAGGGCCCGTCATGGTAGAACAAGACTTTCTCAGGGGACGCAGGAGACAGCCTCTGCCCTTTCAGGAACTCGAGACCAGGCACAGGGGACCCAGACGAGGAGGTGCTTTGGTTAGGGTTGGTCATAGGCTTGGGCAGTCTCCCACTTCCCTGTACAGTCCTATCTGCCATCTTTGTTTCTGGGGCTGGAGTAGAATCTGGGGATGGGCAGGGAGAGGAAGCTTGTTGGGGTCCCGGCCTGAGCTGGGGCATTTTCTCTGGGTTTCCAAGAGGTCCCTGGCCCTTGGAGGCAGCTGGCTTTGCTGAGCTATCTGCCCTGAGGCCAGAGGCACAGACCAGCGGGGTCTCTGGGACCATGAGGTAGGGTTCTTGAGCTGCACCTTCTGAGTTGTGAATGGGCACTTCCCGCTTGACCTTCCTCCTCTGGCTCAATGGGCAGGGTTCCTCCTCTGAGCTTGCTGACTTGGCACAAGTCCATTTTCCCAAGAAAGATCCCCCAATGACCTGCGAGGAAGGCGGCATCCTTTGGGAGAGAGGGCCTTCTTCGGTTTGGGATAGCTCTTCGAGTGTCCCAGAAGACCCCCCAGTGGATGTGCCCACCTCTCCACCGAGAGACCTTCCAACGCTCTCTTTGGAAAAGTCCAGGAGACCCACGTAGTCTCCCTCCAAGTCCTGGTTGACCACACCGTCCGCCCCAAAGGCCGCCTCCTGACGCCTGGCTTGCTCCACCTTGATAAGTCCTGGATACTTGTTCCTGTGAGTCCTGCTCCTACCCTTGACTAGACTCTGGACAAGAAGCTCCTGGCTGCCTGGGGACCCGGCCTGGGGCAGCCCTAGGGGGCTGCTCAAGTCAAGCGCCTCCAATTGAAGAGATTCCAGAACAGGGGCGAGGACATGCTCTGCTTGGGGCCGGTCATCCACAAACTCTGGCCTGGCGATCTTGGTCCATGGCATGAGCGAGATCCCCTTCTCTGAAGCTACCAGGCAGCTGTGCAGGGGACGCCCCTCAAAGTCGCTATTGAGGGTCCCCAGCCATTCTTGGGTGAAAAGTACCGGGTAGGACGCCTCATCAACCGGCTTCCTGTCCACTGTGCGAAGGTCCAAGGAGAGGTACTTGATCACGATGCGGACGGACTGCTCCTCCCGGGCTTCCACCTGGAGGTAGAAGTCACCCTGGCGCAACAAGAGGGGGTTGAGGGGGGCCAAGTGGACCACCACCTCATTCCGCAGACAGAGGGGCCAGCCCTCATGTAGGAAGAGGCAGTGTGAGTAGGGGGCCTGCAGAGAGAAGAGAATGGCATCAGAAAGACTCCAACCTAGGGCCTGCTTCTTCCTCTCCCCCAAAGGGATTCTAGAATAAGACAGGAACCAGGGTGAGAGGGAAGAGAGTCACTTTTAAGGACGTTCCTATTCTCAGGGTTGTATAAGCACAGGCTTTGCACTTGCGCATCTCTGAGAAGGAAGTCCTCCTTAAATTGTGCATCCTGGGTGCCTCTCTGGTCTCACCCCAGCCCTGCCCATGAGGATTAGCAAGTTTGTTAGTTAGCCAGCGCCTTTCCCATGACTTGCGAGCTCCCTGACTCAGTTCACGCTCCCTTCCCTCCACATTGATCCTGCAGGTCTCTTAACCCAGATGAGGTAGTTAGTTTATTGTGCCAATCTGGCCAATAAACACACGTGGGGTTAATTGAAGGGCGGAGGGATCAATGGCTTGGCAAGCCTCGTCTTTCTAGTTCTCAGGTCTCTTGCTTTCTGATGGTCGGACCAGGGTGCAGCTGTCTTAGCCAGTTCCCTGCTTTAGCTGGCAAAGCTCACTTCCTGCAAGACATCCTTGAGGAGAAGCCACATGGACCTACCCTGATGCAGCCCTCAGTGCTGGAGCACCCATGTGGAGACCCCAGCCAGCGCTGAGATACTTACACATTCACTGACTTGGCTTTCCTCCTGCAGTCGGCATCATAGTGTGGGTTTTGTGAGAGGGAGGAGGACTTTTGTAAATTGGTGTCGGACATATGGGTTAATGTTGGACTTATGGGCTTGGGCAGCACTGGGTTGGGATGTTTTCTTGATGTGCACTTACTCTTTATATAGAACTCTCTCTTATATATATGGGTTTCTGTGGATTTGTTTCTTTAAAGTACCCAGAGTAACACACCAGCCCAAACCCTAGCTCTCCCTCCACTTTAGAGGCAGCGAGATGTGGATTCAAAGGTCCGAGGCACTAATCATGCAAACAACTCATCTACCTTGAACTTCAATAGGGAACAGAGAGGAAGAATCATACCTATTGTTGAGTCGACATGAGAATTAAATGAGATGATACACATACAAAATACCCTTTGCAATGCTTGGCTCATCAGCGAGGTTCAGGAAGTATTCCCTAAGCAACGATCCCCTTGCCCTTTGACAACATCTACCTTTTGTATCAATTAGGATATTGAACAAAATTTAATGCCTTTTACTTTTTTTACCCTATTCTCTAATTTTTAAGGAGAGAGGTTACCATAAAAAAAAGTAGGAACAATACGGAAATCTGACCCCACGACTTTCCAGGTGATCCTGAAAATGATCTCACTGTTCTGAGCCTGAATATCTGTCTACCATTTATCTACCTACCTACCTATTTACCTACCTACCTATCTACTTACCTACCTACCTATTTGTTACCCACGAATGGGTAGCATCATGGCAGGTGAGGCTGAGTTTACTTAAAAAAATTAACACACAGGAGACACTTCCAGCAATTCTCTCCATAAGGGGGTCCCAGCAAGTCATCTTGGAACCAACTTTGACCAGCACGATCCTTAGTTCTGCCTTTCTCCAGGGCTAGGTGAGACCAGGGTTCCACAGTGATACCACGTGGTAACAACCACTCCAATGGAGTGACAACACGTCACACTCTCTACCTGGGCTTTGAAAGCCTCGAACCATGTGCTATAATTTGGGTGCGTGTGGGAGGCCTTTAGAGGGTGACAGTGAACATCCTGCTAACTAAGCAGCTGCTTCCTGGGATTATTAATTGGAGAAATAATAGAGACGACTATATCATACCCCAAGGTGATAAATGAGATCATATCAATTACACTGCAAACTTGACTGCTTCAGTGAACGTGCCTATCTCTAAACCCTAACGGGTCAGCTAGTTGCTTCATCCCTTCGTTTAAACTTGCGTGCTTCGCAAGCTGCTCCCCCGCAGCCCCTCACTGGGTGTGGCATTCTGCAGACAGCAGGGCAGCGGAGGGTGGGCAGCTACGGTCATCTGACTCGCTGCTCACAACAACACAACAACTCAGCTCAGGCAGGAGCACTCTCGCTTGACAGGCGAGGCAACGGAGGCTCAGAGAGGTGAAATCATTGGCAATAGCCACACAACCAGAGGAGCCCTGGTGGCACAGTGGCGATGCATTGGGCTGCTACCTGCAAGGTCAGTAGTTCGAAACCACTCACTGCTCTGTGGGAGAAAGAAGGGGCTTTTTCGCTCTTGAAAAGAGTTACCATCTTGGGAACTCCCTGGCCTGTAGGGTCGCTGAGTCAGGGTACCTTGATGGCAGGGAGTTTCAATGAGCCCAGGCCTTCATACATGGAGTCTACATGTTTGCATGAGGCTGGCTCGGGCTGCTGGTGGTGAGAAAGGTAGACTGAGGCTGACAGGGTCCTAATTCAGAGGGAGATATGAGGCAGTGGGACACTACGGACACTGATTGAGTCCCAGGCTCTGTGCTGAATTGTAGACCCTCCTTGTCACTCATCAATGTGGTTAAGTTCCAAAGGCTAAGGCATTCCGTGAACATCATATTAGGCAAAAAATGGAGAATGACCAGATTACAGAACAGAAGATGACCACATCATTGCATCACTGCCAAATCACATCATGACATAACTGCCAACCCGCTGAGAATCATGGTCTAGCCCAGTGGACTCATAACCTTAACCACCACAGCCAGAGTGACGCTGGTGTCAAACTTCTGCATTTGGTACTGCCGCTGACATACACAATAGTGGAGATTTTTAAAGCGTGTCACAGACGTGCCATGTCACATGACGCAACAGTCAATAAGTGAGGTGTAGGTACGTATCACTGCTGTCGGGTCAATGTGATGATAGTAGTGTTTCCACTTTACATGTGAGGAAGCTGAAGCGCAGGGAGGTGACAGGCATCCCCAAATTCACGTGGTGGAGCCCGGATCCGACCCTAGGCAACACTGGGACACAAGCTCACCCATACCTACAATGAGAAAACGAAGATGTGGAAGGGAACCCCATCTCTGGCAGAAATGAAGAAAGAGAGAGTGGCCGCGGTTTCAGTGACCAAATACAGGAAGTGGGCGGTTATGTAAGGAATCGGGAGAAGACACAGGGGTGAGGGAGGGGTGCATTAAGCCATTTCCACATGGCAATATGAAAGTTGCTATGAATGCTTCCATGAGAAGCTCTCTTCTTTCCTATTAACCATTACTGGGTGGTGAGCTACTTCTAAGGGCCAGGCACGGTACTAAGCACATTACGTGGACTGCAGGTTTCCTTCTGGTTCCAACTGTCTCTGGTTTGAACTCAGAAACTTGAACTTCTAGCTCCCACATTCACTCTCCTCCACTGATCCTGACACGCAGGGTCCCCACTTACCTTCTGTCCTGATGTGCCCTGCTCTTGAAAGGCAGCTTGCAACTCAAGGAAGACTAGGAGGTCCTCAGAACCTCTTTGTAGGTTCGGCCCTCTGAGCGTAGGGGTGAACGAACACATGCCTCAAGTCTGGCCAAGACTAGTCCTTCGTCCGGTAGCCAGTCAGGAGCCTTCCTGAGATTGTTTTTTTTTCTATCTGTAGCGGATGGGAAAGAGCTCCTTTTTGATCTTTAGGGGAGATCTAGAGATCATTTCAGAGTGGATTTACCTGGGTTCTAGCATCGTGATAACAGGTAGCCGTTAAGAGTGCTGTTGAAAGCGGGGAGAAACACCTAAGAGGCAGAAAGAGTCCTCAATAGATTTGGTCCTTGCATCAAGTGCTACCCGAGACTGAATCCACCTTGTCCTGGCCTGAGTAAGAATTCTGTCATTTGCAACCACCAAGTCCTGCTTAAATTACGTTTCATTTCCCCTTGCCTCAGGGAGAGGCTTTCTCAAGAGCCTGGTTGGAAGCAGAAGACAGGAGAAAGTACTGGGGCTCCAGAGAAGCTCTGGAACCTTCTCAGTTATTTCCACCAGAGCTGCTGCAAGGCAGGGATGCCTGCCTTGCTCCCAGCTCAGCTTACTACAAACCTGGCTGATTCTCAGATGCTAGAGAGGAAAGGCCCAGGCAATCCTCCTATTCGATACGGGGAGCTGAAGTCCCCCCTCTGAGTAAGCAAAGGATACCAGGAAAACCACCTCCCAGTTCTCCCTCTGAGGCGACATACACACCAACCCTGTTCCTTCTCTGCTCTCCTCCAGCCCCGTGGCCCCCTGGGAAAGCCAATCCCCAAACCCTGCATCCCTCCATGACTTACACAGGCTGCTTCGCGCACTTGTTCACACAGACGCTTGGCAGGGATCAGGAAATCCAGGAGGAAGTTCAGCCCATCCCCCTGGAAGTCAGACTCCAGGAGACGAAACACCTGACCCAGGACAGTGGGTGCTGTGGCCTCAAATGGAGGATAGAGGCCTGCCAGGGCATGTTGAATGGCCATGTCCAGGGATGGAGGGTCCTGTGGGGGATAGGAGGGGAGGATGCCAAGTAATAGCAACAATTACAAGGATAGTAAAGAGCCAAGGCCCCTGCTCATTCCCTTCTCTCCACCTTGCTCACTCCCCTCCAGCCCCACGGCCTTCTTTATTGTTCCCTGAGCACAACAGGTGTACTCCCACCACAGGGCCTTTGCACTGGCTGGCCCTGCTTCCTAGAAGACTCTTCCTCAAGGCATCCTTATTCTCTGACGCCCTTCAGGTCTTTGCTCCAATTTCACCTGCTGGTCCAAGAAGGTAGGGGGGAATGTAGAGAGGCCTTCAATCAGGGTCAGAGGAGAGGGGATGTCAGCACCCCCACACCTCACCGCCAGTGAAGCTCAGCCTGGGTTAGCCAATCCCCCATCAACATGCAGCCGTGTGGATGAACCTGAGTGATGGTTGTTTTATACTGGTGCTTTTTGGGGTGGTTTATTACATAGCAATAACTAGATGTACCCAGTCCAGTGCTCCAGACTCGTTTGTCCAGCTGCCTTCTGGATGCTTCTCCTTCCATGGTCCTCAGGTACAGACCACTGACATATCAAATCCAACTCAGTACCTGGCCAGACCTGCCCCACTCACCCTACCTCAGTGACGGCCCACTGGCATAACTGTATTTTTAGTGGCGTGTCTACAGGGCCATAGAGTTATGACAGCGGATCCAGCCCACCCCGTTGGAAGTGTGACTCGGCCACTTATTGGCTGTGTGATCTGGCAAATCCCTTCACCTTCTGCACCTCGGCATCCTCATCTATAAAACTGGACACGATGACCAGACTTGCCTTGAAGGGTTGAGCCACACTGACTGAGAGAATGCACGTAAGGAACTGCCTAGGACCTAGCAGGTCCCATGAACAACAGCCCGGACCAATATTTTGGATGGTTATTGTATTATTGTTATTATCAGATCACATTCTAAATGGAATGATCAATATCAATGGGCACAAACACAATGTAACTCTAAGAGCAAACCAGTGATACATCGGTGGTATTTACATTCTTTTATTTATATAAATGTAATAATGATTTTGACACATGTGATAGAGTAGGGCTTTCTTGACTGTAATCTTTATGAAGGTACACCTTTCTCCTGGGAACTTTCTGGGTGGGATCGAACTGCCAATCCTTCACGTAGCAGCCAAGCACTTAACTATTGCACTACCAGGGCTCCTTGAAAGAATATACTGAATCTATATTATCATTATAGTCATATTGTGCATGTGATATGACTATATACACCGAATCTGTATTATTGTTATAGTCATATGACACATATCATATGACTATATACACCGAATCTATATGATTATTTTAGTCATATTACACATGTTATAAGACCTATACCTGCATGGCTAGCATAGCATGTAAAATTTAACATGCTCATTGCGGATGTGTTATATACGATTGAACTATTTATTTTAAGATTTATATCAAATCACCCACGAAACTGGATGACACGGAGAAAAGTGCGGCATCAGGACTGGAGGGAGGCCGATCAACAACCTGGGACGTGTGGATGACGCAACGTGGCTGCTGAAAGGGAGGGACTTGAAGCACTTGCTGATGAAGATCAAGGATCGCAGCCTTCCGTCTGGACGACAACTCAGTGTCAAGAAGACCCACGCCAGGAGGGCAGCATCAGAAGAAAAGACCGAGATTGCCAAGGGTTTCCTTTTGCTTGCACGCACTGTCGGTGTCCATGGACGCAGCAGTCAAGAAATCAAATGGCATATGGCATTGGGCAAATCTGTTGCAAGGCCTCTCTCTGTATTGTTCAAAAGCCAGCCGTCACTTTGAGGACTCAGGGGTGCCTGACCCAAGTCGAGGTGTTTTCAATGACCTCCTCTACACGTGAGTGCTGGCCAATGAATGGGGAAGGCAGAAGAATCGTTGCCTTTGAGTGACCAGGTTTGCAAGGATGCTTGGCTGTATCGTGGACTGCCCGGAGAACCAACAGACCTGTCTTGGAAGTGCAGACAGAATGCATGGAGGATGGCCAGGTTTTGACTCATGTGCTCTGGAGAGGTTATCTGGAAGGACTAGTTCCTGGACAAGGACATCATGCTTGGTCCAGCAGAGGGTCGATAAAACAGAAGAGGACCTCCCAGGAGATGGACCAACACTGTGGCGACAGCAATGGGCTCAAACATAGCAATGATTCCGAGCGTGGCCCGGACCGGGCAGTGTTTCCTTCTGCTGTGTGAAGGGTCGCTATGAGTTGGAACAACGCGATGGCACCAATAGCAGTAACGTTTCTATAGAAAGAACCTGTCTTCTAAAGAAAAGTAAACAACAAAAGCAAACAATACGGCATCACATTCTAGGAACGGCCCGTCTTCTCTTTCTCTCTCTTCCACGGTGAGTTGTCAGCCATTAGACAGGCGTGAGAGACCGCCTGTCGCCAGATGGTGTCTTGGTCCTTGGCTCACCAGAGGATGGGACATCAGGGGACTCGGCGACTCTCTTGCCGTGTGGTCCAGTGTGATTTTATTCTCGGCTGTGGTACAACTTTGGTCCTAATTGTGATCCACATTCCAACTTCTGGGAAATGAATGAGCCAAACTTGATTTGGGGGGCTGTATTAGTCTGGGTATTTTGGAGAAACAAATCCACAGCAACTCACGTATAAGAGAGAGTTTTATGCAAAGAAAATGGCACAATTAACTAACTCAATCCACCCCTTGCCA